GTTCATCCATATGATCCTGGTCAGCCATTTGCAAATCTCCCGTGTGGTCTATGCCTTGCGGGGTTAAATGCAGTCCGAGCTGATCATGTCCCAGGCCCTCAGCGTTCGGGGCCACATCGTGAGTAGGGACTGTCGTTGGGAGTGTACTCTGGGCAGGGACCATATCCTGTTGCACAGCTGGATAAAATCATAAATAGAAAGAAGCAAACGTGTGGACAGGAATGATACGCACGCAAGCTATCCAGGCTGCAAGGCTACAATTGGACAAAATAGAAAGCTCATTTCCATTCGTTTCCTTCACGCGCAGATCCAAATCGCTGAATCAAACGAAATCGCTTGCTCCAGGAATTGTTCCCGCAACATGATGACCTCCAATCAGAACACATACCACAAGGCAAAGTGAGCATGGATGAAACTGAAGCCAGCAGACGCAAATTTCATACCACACCAGCATGGTTCATGCAATGTACCACCACAAGCCGGTGTAGCCTCTCAGCTTCTTCATCTTGTTTCCATGTTGCGTGATGCTTGGCGTTTCATGAGGTGTTGTCGTGCAATTTAGCACACACTCTGACATAACTGACCCGTGTACCCAGAACTCAACTCCAGCGGAATGGCCCCATTGAGCTATGCATACCAGCAGGAATACCAACAGGCCTATAATCCACAGCCAGGCTATCCGGGCACCAAGTCTACAACTGGACAAATTTGGAAGCAAACTTGTCAAAAGGAACAATATGCAACCAGCCTATCCGGCAACAATTGGCCAAATTAGGCATAAGTACACGATGAGGCTATCCAGGCAGCGAGGCTAACATTTAGCCTTGCCGCCTCGCCACACCACTGTTGAAACGAAAAGAGAACGAATGCACATCTGCCACAGAAAGTGGTAAGATGCATCTATTTGATGCTATTGCTATTCGTAGTAACGGATGCAGCTTGTCCTCCTCCGTGGGAAGATGCATTCGTTCGTTTTCCGTTTCGACAGTGGTGTGGCCAGGCCCT